GAGGGTCGTTTTCTGCTTGGGGAAGGACACCGGGGGGGGGGGCGCCTTCTGCTGGGGGCTCCGTGGTGAGCACTGGTCTGTGTCTGTGCATGGGGGGTGGGTGGGTGGGCAAGAGGGTCACGGTCTGGGTCTCGCAAGGGCAGGATGTGGCCCTGGGCTGTGACCAGTGTTCCCTCTAAGTTGAGCTAGTGTGAGCAAGCTCACAGTTTTTTAGCCCCCCGGCTCAGACATTTTTGTCTTGGCTCAGGAATGACGGGGCTCCAGAGCAAACTGGTTTATCCAGCAGCCAAATCTCTTGCTCACCACTTTAATGCCAGCAGCTCAGAAAGTAGAATTTTTGCTCACAAGACTCCACGGCTTAGAGGGAACATTGGCTGTGACCCTGGCAGCCTTGGGATTCCTGCGCCTGCCTGTGCGGCGCTCAGCGAGGGTGGGGTAGGGCCAGGGGGGGAGGATCCCCCCCATGGTGCTCTGGAGGAGGGGCTGTGTGTGTGGCCCTGGCCAGACCGGCACTGCCACCGGCCCTGCTTTTGGTGGCGCAGCCTTGCAGAACTTCAGCGAGAGCATCCAGGAGTACCTGGCCAATCTGGACCAGGCCCCGGACCCGACGGTGAGGCGGGACACCTTCTCCCAGGAGGTCTTCAGTGCCTACGAAGTGCTCTTCAGCAGCTGGCTCCACAGCCGGGAGGCCAAGGTGCGGACGGGGGCGGGGACCTCGGGGGGGGGCGGGGGAGGGGCCCTCGCTTGTGCCGGCGGGGATCTGGGCCCCCGGGCTCCTCTCTCGGCCCCCTTTTGCACCATTTCCCCAGGGGTCCACCGCCCCACCCGGGGAGCACGTTCCCCTTGCTGGGGCTGTGCAGGTCTCTTGTTCCTGGCTGCCGGAGGGAGGGAAGGTTGTGGGACCCCCCCCCCCGGGCAGAAAGGCCCCCCCCTGAGGCTGGCCGGGGGGAGTTCTTCTTTGGAGGAGCTTCCCCTCGGGGCAGGGTTCTTTGGGGAAGTGAGCCTCCCCTGGGTCCTGCCCTGGGGGGGTGGGGGTGGGGGTCCCACAGTGAGGTCCAGTTGCCGGGGGGGGGGCCCTTCCGTGACGGGCTGCTCTGGTTGGGCTGGAGGGGGGGCCCGCCTGACCTTCCCCGCCTCTCTCTCTGCAGCTGAGGCTGGCCGTGGTGGAGGCGCTGGGCCCCATGAGCCACCTCTTGCCCAGCGAGAAGCTGGAGGAGCAGCTCCCTCGCCTCGTCCCGGGCATGCTGGGCCTGTACAAGCGGCCGGCCGAGGCCTACTACGTCTCCAAGGTCCGGGCGGGGCGGGGTGGGGTGGGGGGGGGGTGGGGTGTCTCCTGCCTTGGCCTCCTCTGGGTCGCTGCTCGTGGCTCTTGTCGCAAGAGGTGTTTGGATCCAGAGCCCCCCTGCGCCCCCTCTGGCCTGGGTGCTGCCCTGGCTGCCAGAAAGGGAGGGGAAGCGCCGTGGCTCAGGGGCAGGGCGTCTGCTTGGCATGCAGAAGGTCCCGGGTTCAGTCCCCGGGTTCAGTCCCCAGCAGCATTTCTGGGATCAGGCAGGAGGGGACGGGAAGGGCCTTTCTCTGCCTGAGACCCTGGAGAGCCGCTGCCAGTCTGAATAGGCAAGGCTGCCCTTGGTGGGCCGGTGTTCTGGTTCCAAATCGGGCTGCTTTATAGATTTAGAAGCTGGGGTCCCGGCCGAATGGCCTGCGGATATTTTGAACAAGCCAGCAGAGCCACGCTTCTCCTTCGCTTCCCGGGACCACAGAGAGGGCAGGACTGACTTGGAGGAGGAGGAGGAGGACGACGACGACACTGGATTTACACCCCGCCCTTCACTCAGAGTCTCAGAGTGGCTCACAGACTCCTTTCCCTTCCCCTCCCCACAACAGACACCCTGGGAGGTCGGTGGGGCTGAGAGAGCTCTCCCGAGAACTGCCCTTGAGAGAACAGCTCTGAGAGGACTTGTGACTGACCCAAGGTCACACCAGCAGCTGCATGTGGAGGAGCAGGGACTCAAACCCAGTTCTCCCCGCTTAGAGTCCGCGCACTCAACCACTACACCAAGCTGGCTCTCAGAGCTGGACCCTTCTCCTCTCTGACCAGCAGCAGCTCTCTGGGGTCTCAGGTGGAGGTTGGTTAACGGGAGGAGGGTGCCTCCCAGGCAGATGCTCCGCTGCTGGGCCGTGGCCTCTCCCCAAAAGATGGAGGGAGGGAGGCGGTCGGTGGGCTTGCCCTGTGCTGCTGTCGCCAAAGGGAGGGCTGGTTTCCCTGAGCCCCCCTCGTCCGGGGGTTGGGGAACAACCTGGGCGGGTGAAGGTCCGGCAGAATGCAAGCGGAGTGCGTCGGGTGCCCCCCGAGGAGTCCTGGCCCTCCTCTTCCCAGGCGAGGGGTGCTGACCTCCCGCCGCGTGTCCCCTCGAGCAGAGCTTGTGCCAGATCCTGGAGGCCTCCGTCAACATCGGGAGCCGCACGCTGGACACCCAGCTGGACGCCCTCCTCAACGCCCTGCAGCTCCAGGTAGGGAGGGAGGGGGGGAGGGGGTTGTGCCGTGAAGTGGGTGAGCAAGGGAGTGGCAAAGGCCCGGTAGGCGGTTGGGGGGGGGTCTTCTCAGGACCCGAGAGCTCGCGTGTGGCCTCTGTGGAAAGGCATGGCCAGCCCTTTGCGGCTGTGTGGGGCTTCGCTGGGCTATGCTCTTGGGTGAGGAAGGTGCCTCCCCTCCCCCCCATCTTCCCAGAGGCCTCTCTTCTGCGAGCAGAGAAGGGCTGGCACCCGCCCTCACACAGGCCTCTCCTGAGGGGCAGGAGTCGCACAGACATCTCTTGAACAGTGTTCCCTCTAAGTCGAGTTAGTGTGAGTCGGCTCACAGTTTTTTAGCCTCCGGCTCACCCATTTTTGCCTTAGCTCAGGAAGGATGGGGCTCCGCAGCAAGTGTATTGATGCCATAGCGCCCCAATCGCTCGCTCGCAACTTTAATGCCAGGAGCTCACAAAGGAGAATTTTTGCTCACGAGACTCTCCACAGCTTAGAGGGAGCATTGCTCTTGAATCGGGGGGAGGAGAGGGCCTCTGGGGTGAGGCTGAGTCTCCGCTGGGTGCCCTGGATCCAGCTTCCTCAGGGGACTAAGGGGAGAAATTCAGTCTCAGGCGGCAGGGGTGGTGGGGGTGCTCCTCTCTTACCTCTCATCCCCCCCCCCGCGTGAGGGGCACGGGCTTAGCTTCCTCCCTGGGACACACGCCTCCAAGCCTCTTTCCCCCAGACGGGCGTGGAGGGAACTTGTAGGTCACCCCCTTCTTTCGCGGTAGGTGTGGGGCTTGACTCAGTCCGGGCCTTCAGTCTGGGCCCTGCTCTGGCTTTGGGGTCTCCGGGAACCCTCTCCCGGTACACGAGTTCTCTCCTGCCCCAGAGGAGAGGTGCTGCGCACCCCGGGGTCCTGCCGGGCTCGTGGGAGAGCTTTTCTGGGCCGGGACCCTTGCCGGCTTTAGTGGCCAGAAGCGCCGGAGTCCATAAGCAGCGCAGGATTCCCGGCCAGGGCCCCCTTGAACTGGCTTTTCTCTCTTTCCTCGAGCAGATCAGCGCCCCCCCGGACTCCTCCGCGCCCGTCCAGCTGAAGAACCACAATGAAGTCCTCCGGTGCTTCACGGTGCTGGGTAAGGGCCCCGGGAGAGCTCTGCTGCCTGGCGCTGGGGCCGCCTTTGTGTTCCGCTCAGTGGCCTTCCTGCACAGAGAGGGGCAGGGCTGCTGGTGGTTTGGGGGCTGGGAGGGGGGTTTGCCGACAGCAAATGCTGCTCCTGGGGGCCTCCGCTGGTGGCGGCTGCTTAGGCCCATCTCCTGCCGGGTCAGACCAGGCGTCTGTTTCCAGCAGTGCCAGTCAAGGGGGGCGCCTCTCCTTTCGCTGCTCTCAACCGAAGCCGGTGGTCTTGCCGGTGGGTTTTCTGAGGTCTGATCCCCGGTGGGCCGCCTCCTCCTCACTTGCACTGCGTGGGGTGTTGGGTCTCGTCCAGAGCGCTGTGAATTCCACGGTCAGATCTGACAAGCGGAGCAATGGGGTTGCAGAACGGAGCATGCTTTTCCCTCTCAGCAGCTTTCTAGACCTCATGCCTGCCTGGAGGAGTTTGTGGCAGGGCATGGCGGGAAAAGCAGGGGTCGGGTAGAGAGGCTGAGCAGAGTCTCGATTGGCCCTGAGCCTCAGTGCCTGTTGCCGCTCTCTTTCCGTAACGGGCCAGAGCAGGTGAAGGCTGGGAGTGGGCAGAGTCAGGCCAGGCTCACCGCAGCTGATTTCCCTTGGCTCAGAATCCTGGCTGCCTGGAGCGAGGATCAGCCTTCCTCGGGCGTGGGTCCCCCAGTGTTTGTGGCCAGAATGTGGGACTCGCGGCTTCGGGCCCTTGTCGATTGCAGGGGCGTTGGTGCCGGGTGTGCGGTGTCTGTAGAGTCTCTCTTTTGGGGGGAGCAGTCATGGGGTTCAGGGTAGCAATAGTTCTTGGGGGCGCAAGGGTGGAGCCTGGGACGCCAGAGGACGCAGGGAGTGACTTTGGTTTCAGAGGGCCGCCATGTCAGTCTGTGGTGGCAGCGGGAGGTCTGAGTTCAGTGGCACTTTAGAGAGACCCACAAGACTTTGAAGGTCGGAGCTCTTGAGCGTCAGGTCTGGCGAAGGGAGCTTTGACTCTGGGGAACGCATCCCTTGGAAACCTTGTTGGTCTCTCAGTCCTCCTGGGCCCCTGTCCTTGAGTGACTTTGGACAGACAAACATTGTCCTCCTTCGGCCTGGGCTGAGTCACCGTCAGGTGGTTTTTCCTCCCTAACAAACACCTTCCCGAGCCCAGGGATGTTGGAGCATCGGGCAAAGTGTCACTGTGTGTTTGTGTGTGGGGGGGAAGTGCCTGGTGTGAAAACAACTTAGCAAGTTTTAGCATTAAGTCCTTTGCACGTGGGGCTTTGCCTCCCCCCCCCCCGTTTTGCCTGGCAGCCGGCGGCCTCCCTTGGGCCGCTGCCTGAAGGTCTCCACCTTCCCCGCTCTGGTCTGCTCTTGTCTGCCCTTTAAGTCGCTGGGGGCATGTTGCCCTTCCCGGCCCAGCTGTGTCGCCTCC